TTATTATTATTATTATTATTATTATTATTATTATTATTATTATTATTTACATTAGATAAAGTCAGTTCCTTCCTTCTCTGTCTCTCCGTTTAACTTACTTTCATAAGCTCCGTACTACAAATGCTACATTGAATTGGAGGAAAAGCGGAGCTACAAAACTGGCGACGAAAGACCCCGAAACAACAAATTAAACAAAAAAGGCAATCCCTATCTAAACATAATAATAAAAATAAAACCACCTTGCAATAAGTGGCCGCACTCTCACGCAAACGGTAACGCCACCTTCTTCCATCATGTCGCCTGGCTTCTAAAAGTCTTTTCTTTTTCAAATGGAGCTTCAGTATTTGAATTTTCTCCCAGGGCGCTTCCGATTGGTCGGTTGGCGAGGCAAGCCCAAGTTCCTCCCAAGGCGGACTGAACCATTATTCCAGAGAGGGGAGTGGGTCGCCAAGGGCGAATGGATCCAACCTCCTGTAAAAGGAAGAAAAGGGATGGAATTAATCATTATTAGAGGAGAAGTCCATGTGGTATGGATTCCGATCGCTTTTCTTCCAGGAAGGAGAAAGGTGAAAAATGAGTGACGATATATATATCTATATTTCGTATTATTTGCCTTAAAAAAACAAAGCGGCGGTTGGGGATAGAGTTAAAAAGGCGGGCCTTAGAAGGCCGAAGAAACGCGAAAGCGGATGCTGATTGGCTGAAGGAGTCCTTATGTTTAAACCCTGCAAAACGAGAGGGGTTCAGATCGTGTCTCCACTTCTTTTGTCAGCTGCCAATTTAGAAACAATGGCTGCGTTAATTGATCAGGCTTTAGCCATGGTCAGTGTAAGCATCGTGGTTCGCTAAATCAAACCACGGTGCTCACACTGACCACGGCCAAGCATGAATCTGGGATTGCGGGATGAAAGAGATCCAGAAGGCCAAATCAGTTGCATCAGCATAAACGGGTCAGATTGAAATGCTGTTGTAATTAGATGGGGAATACAAAGTGTAGTCCAGGTGATGGATATGTTGGAAGAATTTAAATATCCTTCTGGATTCAGGTCCAAGTGGGGAAAAAGACACTGGAAACATGGAGGCTGTTTGAAAAGATGGTTTAATGATGGACAGGACCACATGGCTTGGGGCTTCAAAGTGAAAAGGACGATCAAGATGTTGGGTGAAGGAAAAGAAGGGCCAAGATGCTGAGAGACCCTTAGTTATATACCCTCTGTTGGGCCCCACCTCCATGTTTCCGGTGTCTTTTTCCCCACTTGGAACTGATATTTCTTCCAACAGGTGGAAATGGAGCAAGGAGAGATTCAATCTGGAAATACGGAGAAGTTTTCTGCCAGTGAGAGCAATCAACCCATGGAACAGAAGTTGCTTTTGGATGTTGTGGGAGCTTCATCACTGGAAGCTTTCAAGAAAAGATTGGACTGCCATCTATCAGAAATAGTGTAGGGTCTCCTGCTGGAGCCGGGGTTGGACTAGATGACCTACAACAGGGGTGTTAAACTTGATTTCATTGAGGGCTGCATCAGGGTTGGGTAGTGCCAGCTTGACATCGCTTGTGTTGGGGGCGCCTGTGGTGGCCCGAGCACTCTGCCAGCAAAAACAGGCTCCTGAACTCCATTTTTGGCTGCAATGGCCTCCTGCAACCTTCTGCCAGTGAAAATGGAGCTCGGGAGGTCTGTTTTCGCTGGCAGAGGCACTGTGGGCCAGTTCTTCACTGTTTCCAGGGCAGTCCCATGGGTGAGATCTAAGCACCCCATGATCTGCCCCTGGGCCTTGAGTTTGACACCCCTGACTTTCAAGGTCTCTTCCAACTCTATTAATCTGAAGTAACCTTGTAAGGAAATCAAAAATTAAATATGGCTATGATTGATTATGTATTGCCTTTGAAAGAAAGAAAGAAAAAGAGAGAAAGAGAGAAAGGAAGGGCAAAGATGTATATGTTCAAGATGATGAGGTTGGAAAATAACGATGGCAAGTATTTGTGTAAAATATGTTTTCTTTGGAATAACATGGATGGTATTGACATCTCATATTTGTGAAAAACTGGCTTATGAACATACAGTATCACCATTTTGTCTTACTGCATCTAGCTTTAAGCAAGGTTTGTGAGTTATCTAAGATTGCCACCAGTACCATATTTAATAAATTGTTTCCTTGTTGAAATAAAATAGTTAATAAGCTATTAAACATTACTCTTTTTCATCTTGGTGATACATCACAACTGCTGGAAACAAATTTCATTCAAAATTGAGATTTATTGCTATTCCAAACTGCTTTCTTTTTAAAAAAAAAAAACTATTTCAGAGTTTTATTTTTGATTTACTCATCAAAGTTACTACAAATCATCAATGTATTATACAGAATACAGTATTAGAATACATTTGTAAAAAAGTTTATCCTTAACAAAACTATTATAACAGCATTTTTGAGCTTAATCATCCTCGTCCTCGTCTTCCTCTTCCTCCATTTCTTCCATTTCTTCTACTTCCAGTGCCTCCTCTTGGGCAGCCTTGAGTGCCATCTCTTCTTCCACAGTTGGATCAAGGCCTTCAGTGACTTCAGGTCCAATAATATATTCGAGCTGCACTGGAGGTGGCAATGTAGGGTTGAAATTTTCTGGACTGTATTTGTGACCCCAGCCAATGTAAATGTTATCAAATTTCCTAAAACAAAAAGCAGAAGACTCTAACATTATTAAAAATGCACATTTAATTAGTGATGCCTCTTTCCTCCAGCCCCTCCCCCATCTCACCCCGGGCAATGTATATCACTCTTTCCCAATCAAGTTGGGACTTCCAAGCCTCAGAATTTCTAGCTAACATGACCATGAAATGCTCCAGAATGGGAAAAATTGATCCCCTCTATATATATCTCTTACCAAGTTGTTTTCTTTGTCTATTCTGTGTATACTGCAGAACATCTATTCAAATTTTCTTCAGTTCAGAGGAGTCCAGAAAATAGATGCATGATTATAGCTTTAAAAATACATAGAGCGGTATTCCCCTGCCTACACAATTGGCAGCAAAAAACATGTTTATTAGCGTACATCTAGTTTGGCCTTAGCGTGGACAAGTTGAGGAAAGTATGAAGAAAATGGCTTTGGGAACTCTGCAATCTCTTAATAATTTCTCCAGGCTAAATCATATGCCTGGGAAGGAGTTGAAATCCACAAGTCTTAAAGTTGCCAGTGTTGGAGACCCCTGTACCTTAACCCATGGGGACTTTTTTTCCTGGACTTCTGTAGTCACTGGCTAGATGCAACCTATTTGGAAGGTTGGCTTCTCATTCCCACAGCAAATTCCATCCCGTTCTGTCCTGTTTTCAGATAGTTATCTTGCTGATGGGCAGAGAGCGAATCCCACGCTTCTTAATTTGTTTCTAACAGATCAGTTGTATAATTTATGGCTTGAAAAAAAAGGACTAAAGGATGCATTGTATTATAGTCACATATACCAAACTGCCTGGCTTGATCCCAAATTTTGTTGTGGAAAAGATGAACGTTTACATTTCTCAGTAGATGCCACTGGCTTGATTTGAGTGAAAACTGTATAAAAACAGTGC